TCGCCAGGCCGGGTGGCCGGTGGGCCCGTGGCAGAGGACAGCTGCTGGTGGCCCCCTTTTTTTTTGCCCCCAGGGAGGCACGCGAACCTGTTTCTCCGTCTTGATTTAATTTTTGCATTCATTTTTGATCCCTAAATGGGACTCAGTGAAATGAATGAAATAAGTATAGTTAAAATTCCAAACAACTTCAAAAGACAACTAGGAGCCTTTAAAACCAAATACAGGGGTTTTAATGGCTCCTAGTTGCCACGCAGGGGATTGTCCACACAGGTTGATAGCCTAGAGTTTGTAGGAAATGGGTATTTTTTGCTGAGCAAGTTTGCTTAATTTGAAATTTATCAGAAATTTACTTGCACAATGAAAGGAAGATAGCAAGTAAGCAGAAACGATGCTAGTGAGGTGTGCCTAAATAGATAAAAGATGGGACCAGTGGAGGTTCCATAGCCCCAAATTTGGGGATATGGTGTGAGAGAATTTTGCCCCCAGAAGTTTCCAGGGAGTGCTATTAATTCATAAAACAAAAGTCCTTGATCAGCCTCCCACCCGACCCTTTTAACGTAAAACAGTCTCTCACTTCCAAGAAGGTAAATATAATTTTTCTTCTTCTTTATTAAAGATATTCGGGACACAGTGAAATACAAAGAAGTGATGAAGCAGCATCCTTGTCTTGCGTACTTATTTCCTGAGGATTGTCCTGACTAGAGAAGCCTGTCAGGGACAGGAATTGTGGTGTGGCTGAGAATGGAGGAGCAAAAGCATTCCTGTGTAGTCAATAGGAGTTTAGGGTTTAAAGGGGGCAGATGGCCCATGGTCTACTGTCCTGCCCTTTCCCCAATAGTTAGGGGGTGGATAGAAGTTGCTGCCATTTTGGCTTGGGAGTCACGGTCCCGTTGTTTCTAGCGAGAGACCTGGAGCTAGCGCCAGTTGGGTGGCATAAAGGGCTTGTGACCGCCAGCAACCTGGCACAGGCATTTGGCCCCTGCTGTTATGCTGCGTGGTAACATTGTTCCTGCCTGCAGGTCGTGCTAGGATCCCCCTGGTCTCTTGTCCAAACCAGTCAACCAGGCCCAGCAGCATCCTTGGCTGCAAGTCCAGTGAGCTGGTTCAGCTTTGGAGAGGAAGCTGTGATGTACTGTGTTTGGCCTTTCAAGCAGAGTGTTGCCCCTGGGATGGATTTGGGGAGGATGACATTGCTGGCAATTTCCTGAACCTTCTCCAGATATGGGCTGGGTCCAAATGGTGGAATTGTGACTTCACTCAATCTTTTTGCTACAAGATTTGATCAGGTATGCATAAACTGTTCTTCGAGGCTTCCCTTTGCAGGTTGGCAGAGTTTGTAGCTTTCATTTTCCCATGGAAGGGCTCGTGGTAGTCTAGGCCAGTGGTCCCCAACCTTGGACCTCCAGATGTTCTTGGACTACAACTCCCAGAAGTCTTCACCACCATCGCTGCTGGCCAGGACTTCTGGGAGCTGAAGTTCAAGAGCCTCTGGAGGCCCAAGGTTGGGGACCACTGGTCTAGGCCATTTCGCAGTTGAAGGAGGCTTATTCTGTGGCAGTGGCGGCGGCAGAGTCATTCTTCTCTGCCACCATTGCATCTGCATAGACTTGTCCAATTGACCTTGTTTGGTCAAGGGCCTACCTGTTACATTGCTGGCCTGCAGGAAGAGAATGTAGACCAAACTAGAGCTCACTGTGAAGATTTTGCACAACCTTTTGCAAGCAAAATAGCGCAGATGTTCTCTGACTTGGATGCTGTAGGCTTAGGGTTGTCCTGTCTGTCCTTGTTAATGAATAAGTTCCAGTTTTTGCAGTCTAGTGATGTGACCAGGACCCTCAGAGAGGTGAAGGCTGGACATGGTATCTTATAAACTTTGTGGCTTATAAAAGCTGCCAGAGAGAGGCTGGCTGAGTGAGTAAGAGGAATAGTGAATGACTCTTTGCAGCAGAATAGGAGCCCAGCATACTTAAAGGAGGCAGGAGTAAGACCGTTGTTGGCGGGGGGGGGACCTCCTGGCATCCCATGGTGTTGAATAATTACCAGGCAGTCTGTAATGTTGCATTCTTGAGCAAGGTGCTAGAATGGAATGGGACTTAGAGACGGAGGTGGGCGGGCAGGAGTGCATGTGTAGGAGTGCGCATTCCTTTGGCCCTCTAAAATGTAGAAAATATATTATGTGGTCCTCACGGTGAAAAGTTTGGAGACCCCTGCTTTAGGAGAATGATGACTTCAACATATTTTAAATAGATAAATAATATGTTTAATTGAATAGAATGAACTGTAGCTGAATAGACTTTTAGTGCTAACTGTATAATATCTGTTTTTACACATATTTTTTTCCTTATCAGGTGATGAAATTTATTGAAAAACGGCAGGCTGCATCCCAGTGAGTCAGTGAAAGATTTTATCTGAAGCATGAGAAGGTTGGGTGGGTGAGCTGCCTTGTGAGAACACACATTCACACACGCCTGCAGGAGCAGGAGCAGCACTGCCTTAAATGGGTAGAATTGTATACAGTGGGGTCTTGACTTAAGAACGGCTTGAGTTAAGAACATTTTGACTTAAGAACCACTCTCATAGGAAAATATTGACTTGACTTACATACTTAGATTTGAGTTAAGAACTAAAAAAAACCACGTGGGAGGCAGGGAAAGTGCAAAATGTGAACTTTCAGTTAACTGTTGGCCAGTGAAAAGGGTGCCTGTCTGCTTCCTCACTCCTCCCAGCGTTTAGAGAGTGGATTGGGAGACAGTCTTCGGACTGCCTGGTCCTGTCCTGCCTGGACTGTATTTTCCCTGCCTTCCCTGAACCTTTCTTGACCTAAGAAAAAAAGAAACAGAATATCCCCCTCTAGTGGTCGAAGGCAGAATAGCAGCTTCCTATTAGTTTCTATGGACGGAAAAGAGCAGATACGGATCAAATGGTTTTCAGTGCATTCCTATGGGAAATGCAGATTTGACCTGAGAACTTTTTGACTTGAGAACCGCCTTCCAATACGGATTAAGTTCTCAAGTCAAGACCCCACTGTACTGCATTTCAGAAGCATTGGTCTCTTTCCTTTCCTTCCCCAGCAAGAGGTGCACAAGGCAATATGCAGTCTACTTATAAACATTTTAAAAATGTTAATAAATTCAAATTTGACTTAAATCAAACTGATGATTTTTATCCACTTTGGTAGGAAGCAAAGTAAAAGACAGATGCAAAGTGGCAGGTTAGGCAATCTTAATTGAAGAAAAGAGAAGGAAATAAGGACCAAATTTATTTGCTTGGTTATTAAACAAGTGTAAGGTATAAGGGATCTCCAGTGTGAAAGAGAAGGCTAATGGGCTGCAGTGTGCCAAAGTTCAGGCATGGTGGTAAATATGCCCTATCCTGCACTCCTGCCCAGTGAGCCTCAAGCTGTGGCTAAAACATCCAGCAAGCCCTGTCTTGAAAACTTTAGAGAAACAGGCAAGTTTGTAAATCAGGATTCTTTAGGTGTTTCTGTTCACAAGCCATTAAGGGAGGAGTGTATGTATCTGCATCTCTGTCCCACCAAAAAATTAATAAAATTATTTTGAGAGTATGGTGATGCTGGATGGTTGCATCTGGAGCTCAGTGGGGGCTGGAGTCACTTTCTGCATAGTTCTGCCCTAGGGTTTTAAAGACAACAACCAGCATTTTGAGTTGGATTTGGGTCCACCAGCAACCCCTGAAGCTCATGCCATAGCAGGGAGAGGAAATTGTATGGCCTGAGTAGCTGGGTCTGGTCTGCATCAGTTGATACTTAAAGGCATCCAGAGTAGAACTGAGCAAAGGCACACTTTTCCTTCTGGTTTTCAGTGTAACTTTTATCAGCGAGGCACTTACATCTCTCAGTTTCCAAAAGAGGTTGGGAAGTTCATGCAAATAAGAGTGGATGATCAGAAAAACTGGACCTTATTTCCAAGTGGAATTTAGGGCATCTGGTCTAAATGGGGAGGAGGAGGAGGAGGAAAGTTCCAGGATAGGGGCAGGGAGACTTTCATGGAATCATGAAGTTGGGACTTGTAAGGCCATCGAGTCCAACCTCCTGCTTAGTGCAGAAATACAAATCAAAGGATATCTGGCAGGTGATTGTCTAAATTTCTCTTAAATACCTTCAGGGTCGGGAGCACTCACCACCTTTCAAGGTACTTGGTTCTGTTGTCGTACTGCTCTAACAGTTAGGAAGTTTTTCCTGATGTTCAACCAAAATCTAGTTTTCTGTAACTTCAGCCCATTGTTATGTGTCCTGCACTCCGGGGTGATCAAGAACAGATCCTGCCCCTCCTTGGTATGACATCCTTTCAAGTATTTGAAAAGTTCTATTGCAGTGGTGCCTCAACTTACAAACGCCCCTACTTACGACCAATTTGACTTACGAACAGCTCCGGCCGCAAGATTTTGCTCTGACCTGTGGCCGGAGCTTCGACTTGCAACCAAGAAAGGCAGGGGGGAAAGGCTGTTGATGGCGAAGAGGCTGCTTCTTTGTAGCTCTTCATCCCAACGGTTAGGGAAAGGGAGGCGGCGGCGGTGTCCAAGCTCCCGACGGGCTCCAATGAGGCCGGGGCGGCACTCCTCGCCGCCCTCCACCATTTGAATTTCCCACCATCAGCCTGCAGAAGGCATTGAGGGGCACCGACCCCGGCCTTGTTGGAGCCCGTTGGGAGGCAAGTGGCCGGAGGAAGCACCCTGGCCAGGCTCAGCCTCCCGGCGTTTGGACACCACCACCAGGAGGCAAGTGGCCAGAGCACCCCGGCCAGGCTCAGCTGGTGGTGCTGGTTCCGGAGCTGGAGGCAGTGTCGGGCACCAGCAGCATCGGTGGCATCGGCTTGGGACTGCCTGGTAAGGTAAAGTGCCGGTTTTTAAAAACTGTTCTGGGTGGGTTTTGCAGGGCTGGGCTGGGGTTATTTTTCTGTGGTGTATTTATTTATTTATTTATTTATTTATTTATTTATTTATTTTGCAGTCCCAGCATGGGACTTGCTCTGTTTGATTTTGTGTGTGTGTGTGTGTTTTTGTATTGGGGGGGGCAGAACTGATTAATCGTGTTTCCATTATGACCATATTGACTTACGTTCCATCTGCTGGAATGGATTATGGTCGTAAGTCGAGGCACCACCGTATATATCCTTTCAGTCCTCTTTTCTCAAGGCTACACATGGACAGTTCTTTTCTCATAAGGCTTGGTTCCCGTCCCCCTTACCTTGAGAAGTGAGTACTCCAACACGAGTCATTTGAGAGAAAACCAAGAAGCCATTTGCCCAGTCCACTTGAATTCCTCCAGTAAGCAGGGAGTTGGACTTGATGGCCTCGGAGGTCCCTTCCAACAGCCTGATCTTGTGACTCTATGATTCTCAGGGGTGGAGTGGGTGCTGGCACAGGGTGTTAGTCTGGCTTGGCCAGCTCAAAGTTTCCTATGAGCAGAGGTGCTGGTTTGGACAGCCGAGGCCCACAAGGTGTCGTGATGTGCACTCTTTCACGCTGGTGACTGGGGAAATGTTCGAATGGCGTGCCCCTGTGTGAAAGGGGAAAACCAGTCTTTCTTTTGCAGATATGTCCTGATTGACACTCCAGGGCAGATCGAGGTGTTCACCTGGTCAGCCTCAGGCACTATTATTACTGAAGCTCTGGTGAGTTCTGTCCCTTTAGCCCACCTCAGGAGGGATGGGGCTGTGCGGCACCTTGGTCTGGGCCCCAAACACTCATTATGCTGTGTGCCCCTTCAGGCTTCCTCTTTCCCTTCTGTGGTGGTTTACGTGATGGACACCTCTCGCAGCACCAACCCTGTCACCTTCATGTCTAATATGCTCTATGCCTGCAGGTAGGAGGGCTTGCCTCAAGGCGGGTGGCCTGTTCTTTTCGTTTTTCTTCTGTGAGACGAACTCAATCCCTCCTCTGTATCTGAGCTTATGTGTTATTTGGCCACTCTGGCTGTGTCTGTGAAATACCTTTTTCTTTATTTCTGTGCATGTTGTGTGTTCCATCTGTGCAACAAGAACATCTGAAAATGCCTGTGACAATACGATGCATCAGCTAAAGCACTGCAGGAGTGAAAGCAGGTGGAGAAAGCTAAGAACCCTATAGGAAGATAAGCTGGCTGTAAAACCACAAAGTGCTTGTCATGCCACTGAACGTGGAAGAGAAGAAGATCAGGAGAACATCCTGCCTCCAGCCCTGGCCAGGGGGTTCAAAGGCAGGCTAGACCCTCCCCCCTCCCCTGTAAGTCCCACTTCCTGGGCTCTGTCTGTGAGTCTCAGCAGGCAGGGAACTAGAGAAGGCCTCACCTGACATCTTGAAGTGGTGGGTCAGCTCTCAGGGGAGCAGACTGTCCTTGAAGCAATAGTTTAAGCCCCGCTCAGCTTGGGGTTAGAGCAGTCCAGATTCGCCAAACTGTACAGGAAGACCGTGAAGACATTTTGACAGAAGCAGAGCATTACCTGTGCAACCTGTTCTGTCTTGAGCCTAGATCCTGAATCCACTAAGGCAGGGGTCGTCAACCCCCGGTCCGTGGCCCCGTGCTGGTCTGTGGGCTTGCAGGAACTGGGCCGCAGATACGGATCTCTGCCCGCATGCACACGGTGGAGGTGTGTCACGCTCATGCAGCGGGCGTGTTGCACCTGCGGAGGGAATGTTGCACGTGTGTGAGTGTGACACCCCTGTGCATGTGCACAAACTAAACACGCACCCCCCATGAGCACAACATGCCCACCACGCTCACGCGGGGATGCCCCCGTCCTCCCGCATGTGGAGCTCGCTCCCCCCAACCAGTCCACAGTCCCGAAAAGGTTGGGGACCGCTGTATTAAGTTTCCAAGAGGTCACCCAATGCGCACTGTATTATGCTTTGCAGGACGTCAAGGCCCAGGGTTGCAACAGCACTGGCTCTGCAGGGCCTGGCCTGCAAGATATTTGCAGCAGCATTTCTTTCAGGGGCATTTTGGTTCTGGATGTCTCTTTCCCTGGTGCACACTCTCTGCTGGTGAGTGCTGTCTGGGAACACTTTTGCTAAGGCTGTGCCCAGGAGCCCCAATGCATGGGAGGCTTCTCCAGGGCCCCATGAGCCATGTCTGGTGTCCTTCTCTTTTCTCAGAGGTAGTGGGGTTAGTTGCAGTAAAAACAATAAGAAGGCCTGAGGTTCGGAGGTTTAAGAAGTTATGCCTTGCATAAATATTCATTTGCACAGCCGTGCACATGGGTGTTTCCTTTTTGTTAGTGTGCAGAAGGTGTAGGCGGGTGTCTTTTTTTCTTTTCTTTGTAGCTTTATAAGATAGTGGTCATTGGGTGATTTCAGACATAATATCCACTAGCTGAATAAGCTTCAAAATGTGCTCTGGTTGCTCCACACCTGAAGACCAGTAGTCTCCAGGGAGTTGGAAAAATTGCTAAAGAGAAGGTTTCAGTGTTTTCTTGACTGAGGCTAGTCTGTATCTCTGATTCTTGTCTCTTCTTTTCAGTATCCTGTACAAAACCAAGCTCCCGTTTATTGTGGCTATGAACAAAGTGAGTGGAATTCTTCTTTTGTGCTGTTTTCTTCAGCCTTTTCTGATGTGGGATCCATCTTTCAAACCCCACCTGAAGTATGGGGCTTTGGCTTCCTCCCTCCCCAACATAAGTTTGGGTGTCTTCTTGTTCTGCATTTAGCCTGTCCCATGAGGGTGGAGAGCCTGGCCTGCCTGCTGTATGTGGCAGGGGAGTTCAATACAGTGGTGCCTCGCTTAACGATTGCCTCGTTTAGCGATGTTTTCGCTTAACGATGTTTTTTTAAAAAGAATTCTATGCATCATTTAACGATGTTTCCTATGGGCGATTTTCGCCTAGCGATTTTGGGACCATGCTTCACATAGCGAATGCATTTTTAGGTCCCCTGTTTTGCTTAATGATGTCCGTTTTTTCAATTTTAAAAGTGTCTTAAAATGTTCAAAAATGTTTTAAATGCTTGGAATCGTTAGTGCACCTGCTGAATCGTGTGCAAACTTAGCTTGGTTTTGTTCTGACTTTTCGTTAATTTTTTGTGAATTCTTTTCTCCCCCATAGGAAAGCATTGAAACCAACTTTTGACAGCTGTCAAAAGTTGGGCTCCATTGTTTCCTATGGGGGAGGAAAAAATTCACAAAAAATTAATGAAAAGTCAGCAACTGTTTTAAATGCTTGGGTTCGTTAGAGCACCTTCTGAATCGTGTGCAAACTTAGTTTGGCTTTGTTCTGAGTCTTCGTTAATTTTTTGTACATTTATTTCTCCCCCATAGGAAACAATGGAGCCCAACTTTTGACAGCTGTCAAAAGTTGGTTTCAATGCTTTCCTATGGGGGAGAAAAGAATTCACAAAAAATTAACGAAAAGTCAGAACAAAACCAAGCTAAGTTTGCACACAATTCAGCAGGTGCACTAACGATTCCAAGCATTTAAAACATTTTTGAACATTTTAAGACACTTTTAAAATTGAAAAAACGGACATCGCAAAACCATTGAAATGCATTGAATAGGCTTCAATGCATTCCAATGGAGGAAACATTGTATCACTTAACGACGTTTCCTATGGGTGTTTTCACTTAAGGACGGCAATCCGTGCCTATTGGAACAGATTAACCGATTTTCAATGCATCTCTATGGGAAAACACGTTTCGCTTAACGATGTTTTCCCATAGCAATAGTTTTTTTGGAACCAATTAATATTGTTAAGCAAGGCACCACTGTACCTCTTGCTGTCTTGTGAGAAGGTAGAGGCAAGGCCTTCAGTCTGTCTCTGCCTTCATCAGTGCTGGGAGCTGCCCCTCTTTTAGAGGCTGTTTGGAAGAAACTGGACACAGGGCTAGCCAAAGCGGTCTCTTCTGCAATCAAGGGATGCAGACAGTGGGCAGGCAGGAGAATGATCCGGTCCTGTTTGAGTTGCATGCTTGGCCCATGTGCCCTGTCCCAGCTGAAGCTGTATGGAAACATGCAGAGGAGCGCCTCCACCTGAGATGCAGGGGCTGAGCTCTTGGGGTGTGGAGTACCTTGGGATTTGGAGAAAACTGGAGCAGACCCCCTTGGGAGCATTGCTGGGTGGCAGTAGTTGCATTTTTTCGTATATTTTTCAACCATTGGATGCTGCTCCATTTGGGAGGAGGGAGGAGAGACTCTGGGTTGCTGGAGGAACTGTGGTTCAGAATAGGTAACTTTCTGCTAATGCTTTCCCTTCATCCTGCGATCTGTCTGGCAGCCCTCTTGCTGCTCCTCTCCCCTTCTGAGAGACACAGCAGCATGCTGGCAGATGTCTAGATCAGGCCTTTCCGTGCTGGCCTTTCCGTGGCTAGCCTGCAGCCTGCACTTTCTGGAGTTTACTGGAGCCACCTCTTCTATCTCTCCTCTAGTGCTCACCCTCAGCATCTGAGAGTCACTATTCCTTCCCCATTTACCAAGAATATGAAAGAGCTGCAGCACAGTTTGTCTGGCCCCGAAATTTTAATTCCTTCAGGGCTACTGGTGATTTTTGCATGTTTCCTTGCCCAGCCTGGGCTCCAAACTCAACCCCACCCCCGCCCCATCCTTTGTTCTAATTGTTTCTATTTTTCCCCAAACATATTTCATGTTGCAGGAGAAGGTTTTAAGGAAGGCAGAAGTAGAGCAGTGGTTTCCTCCTCTGTCCCTTTTTAACGACTCAGCAATTTCCCGAGCAGGAAGAGCAGCCCATCAGTTTTGCCTGCTGTCTTCAGAGATGAGCTGGGCAAGTCGAGGAGTCCCAGGGACCAGTTTCAGCTGCCAAATCCCCACTACAGCTTCCCATGCCCCCACCCCACCTCCATTTCCAGGTTGTGGCGGCAGTTGAGAGCCATGTTTCCTCCACTTCCACTTTAGATCAAAAGTAACTTGCAAAAGTAAGTTCCAGTGTGTCCTGTTCTATAGGAGAAGGGCATTTCCCGCACCCACACAACTTGTCTTAGCTCAGAAATGCAGTGCACGCAACTGCTATGGGTCTGTGATGCTGGACCTCCAGCTGGGTGTCCCAGGAGGCAAGGTGTGTCAGTACAGCCTGAGTATTTTCCACCCTGTTTAAAGAGAGAGCCCAGAATCAAGGCCGGTCCAGGAGCAGAGGTATCCGAGTGCAGGCGAGTGCAGCACTGAGGCCGTTGGGGCAGAAGCAGCTCCCAGCCTGACTTCCACACCAGAAGTTCCATCTTTTTTTCTCTCTCAACTCAGACAGATATCATTGACCACAGCTTTGCAGTGGAGTGGATGCAGGACTTTGAAGCCTTCCAAGATGCCCTCAACCAGGAAGCCACCTATGTCAGCAACTTGACTCGCTCCATGAGCCTAGTCCTGGATGAGTTCTACAACTCACTCAAGGTGGGTCTCTCTCCTTTTGACTGTTCCTTCTCCTCCAGGGTGGGTGTGGGCATCTGTCTTACACAGAGTTTATAGGCACTTGTAACACCCCAAAGTTGAGTTCAGTGTGAATATAAAAGCCCCCTCTTGGCCCATATGCTCTTTCTTGCACTCACACTGATGGAGGAACACAGAGATGGCAGTGGCTTCCTCCTCTCAATCATCTGTTCTGTCAGCACTTGGGGTTCTCAAGGCCAACCCCCTGCCAATGCCAGAAAGCCGCAGGTAAGACCTCTGACAGGTAAACCTGCCTTGCAAAAGTATCCAGCAGCTTCTGAGACAGCCCATCACGTTATTAAACGTCTCCTCGTGCTGGGGCATTTTTCCTAACGGTCGGCTGGAATCTTCTTTCTTGTAATTGGACTCCATTGTTTTGGGTCCTGCTCTCTGAAGCTGCAGGAAGCAAACCTGCACGCCAGCCCTTCCGATGTTTAAAGATGGCTATCCTACCACCTTTCAGACTTCTCCTCTCTGGGAGAGAAGTCACCAGCTCCCTCAGCTGTGCCTTGTTGCGACTTGAATTCCAATGCCTCCAGTGTTGGAGCATTCAATGGTTCCCAAGGTAACTGGTTCCACTGTCGTACTGCTCTAACAGTTAGCAGATTTTTCCTTATATTCAACCGAAATCCACATCGCTGAAATAGTCCAATGGAAAGGCAAGAGCCAATACAACTGGTTCCAGCGACGTCGCAGGAGTTGCCAGAATGACACGAACTGCCTCCAGGACTCCGGCTCCAGATTTTGCCTCGAGGTTAACTCCTGAAGCCTTTTCCTTCCCAGGCTGACAAGCCCGCTGGGTATCTAAATCATGGATTTCCTCATAGTAAATATGTAGAGTCTACTCCAGGGGTGGGCAGTTAATTTATATAGGTGGCCACGTGAAAAATCTGAACTGTGTTCAGGGGCCGAACCAACTTTACTTAAAAATAAAAGATAAGCAACTGATCAACTTTAGACAAAAAGCTATACAGTGGTGCCTCGCTAGACGATTGCCTTGTGGGATGAAAAACCTGCAAGACAGTTGGTTTTTGTGATCACTATGGTGCCTCGCAAGACTTTTTTCTATGACCATGCTTCGCAAGACACTTTTTTTAGACCGATGCTTCACAAGACTTTTTTTAAAGACCGATGCTTCGCAAGACTTTTTTTTTAGACCGATGCATAGGGAACCTCGCAAGACAATTTTTTCACAAGACGACGATTTTCGTGGAATGAATTAAAATTGTCTTGCGAGGCACCACCGTAAATGGTTTTGATGTTCAACTTGTTCAGTGGGAAAACTCCAGTCTGTCTTGGGCTTGAACAAGTTCTTGAACACCGGACTGGAGCGACAACCGGCGGGCCGGACAGGAGTGGCTCACGGGCCGTATGTGGCCCTCAGGCCGCACTTTGCCCATTTCTGGTCTACTCGATGTCTCATCCTGTGCACTCGCTTCCTTCTGAATAAGCTATAGCGCATCCCAGTCGTGACCATGGTCCCACCAGGTTTTGGTAATGCCTGTGAAATCCAATTTGCCTTCCAGTGTTAGGAGTTCAAACTCATCTTGCTGGTTTCCCCTGTACTTTATATCGTTGTGGAGACATTTGGCCCCGTGGGTCATTCCCTCCAGAGGCTGCCCTCTTGTTTTTTTCCTACCTTCCGATGGGTTCCTCTTCCACCTTCTCCATTTCTGGGGGCCCCCGCCCCAGATGCTTTGTGGCTCCCTGGCCAATTTCTTTGTGGGCAGTCCTATGTCTGAAGAGTTATTTGGGGACAGTTCAGTTTGAAACCCACTCCCCTGCCTTTATTTTACAGCCTTTGGTTTGAAATCCACTTATTTAGAAAGGCCTGGCATAGACCTCTAGCCATCATTTTTGGAACTCTTACATGTTTTTTTCTGAACCATTCACAGATAAGTAGTGTTGAAAACTAACCTGAGCTGGTGGTTTTTAAGTGTCTCCATAGAGGTAACCTATCCCACTGCTTTTGGGTTGTCTACCAAAGGCCAGATCTCCTTGTCTCCCTTTTCTCTCTCCTTCCCTTTGTGGGATTCACGTCAGAAGCACCCTAGCTTTAACCCTTTCCCCCAGCCTCCAGCCAGCCCCTTCCCAGGCGTGCAAGGCTGCCGGTCATCGGACACTTCCTTGCTGCCTCTGCCGCCTTCTCCCGTTATGGCTGTCCTGCAAACGGGCAAAGACCTTTTTATTCAGGCATTCAGGCAGGCCTAAGAAGTGGTTTGTTTTTTAAAATGGGATTGTCGTGTTTTTGTTGTCTTTAAATATGTTTTTCAAACTGCTTTTATCTTCTAGATTTAGTGTTATATCTTTGTTTTTTAATTTTCTAGTTGTAATGTATCTATTTGCTTTCTAGTATTGTAATAATGAATTCACTTTTAGATTTCAGTATGGTTTGTATCGTAGGCTTCCTTGGATACTGAGGCAAAGAGGTGCTTTCTCTTGCAGGTGGTGGGGGTTTCTGCTGTGCAGGGAACAGGGCTGGATGAGTTTTTTGAACATGTGTCCAAAGCTGTTGATGAATATGAAAGGTGAGAGAGCATTCAGGAGGGCAGGCAGGCATGACTGTTGTGTATAAGTAGCTGCCCACTTCTGCTTGGCTGCCTTCGGGCATGCTTGGCCTTCGGGACCTCTAGGCTGGTTATCCCTCCAGCTGATTCTGGGGGACTTGCTTTGTATCCAGTGTACATGTGGTGTACTGTACATCCTGTATTCCACAGTTGTCATGGGGGAAGGGAAGGGATCCTCTTTGGTGCACATCAGGCTGAACAGAACTGGTGACCTCTAATGAGCCAGGCCACATCCCTCCTCCTACAGGGAGAGGCAAGGCCCTGGGAAGGGCTCTTTCTCCTCTGCTGCCCCTCACATTAGGGAGTAAAGGTGTAGTAGATGGGGAGAGGAATGACAGTGTCCCTGCAGTGCCAGAGGCCGCTCACGTGACCTCCATTGTTGCTTGGCTGGGTGTGAGCTTCGGGTGGCTGGGAGTAAATATGTGGCACCCATGTCCCTTGCTCTCCTCCTCTTCTTGCAGGGAGTACCGCCCAGAGTATGAACGCCTCAGGAAGAAGCTGGTAAGGGCATGCATGCACAGCCCCACCCCCACCCCTTTCTGCTGCTTTGCCCCACTCTTGCTTTGGCCCGGCTCTGAAATGCTTGTCAGGCTGCCTTTTAGGATCAAAACTGCCAGGAAGGGGGTCCCAGGACTCTTCCTGTGCACACAGAGAAATTCCCTTGATTGCTGGAAGCAGCTGTCTGGGGCTTTGCTGCTTCTTGAAGAAGGCGGAGTGGGGCTCTGAAGGAGACTGTTTGTGGCTGGCAGCTTCCTGTAGCTCAGGTGGGTGTGGGTGGGTGGGTGATTCCCACACACCCCGCACCGTCACCTGATGAAAGAGGGAACGTGTCTGCTCAGTCAGTCCACGACACTGGACAAGTCTTCCTTGTCTATAGGGAAGAGTGCGGAGCCAGCAGCAGCAGGAGCAGCTGGAGCGCCTACAGCACGATATGAGCCCAGCTGCTGGGGAGAGCCACCCTCCTAGATCTGGTACGCAGGAACCAAGCAGCAGGAAGGTTGGGAGGGGTCGAGGGCTGGCCTTGACAGGGAGCCCAGTGACTCACTTTCAGACAAGCCAGCTCTTGGGGGGGGGGTGCCTTTGTTGCTCCATTTCCTGTTCTGCCACCAATGCTCAAAGGCCCCTGTTGGGTAGGAGGCAATTGGCTCGTCACCGGGGAGGGGGTGGTGTGCATGCAGGCCGTCTTCCCTTTGCCTTCTGCATCTGGAAGACCTTAGACCATGGCCTGCAAATTGAATGGCGCCAGTCCCAAGCAGCCTCTGTTGGTTCCCTCTCCCCCACCCTTGAAGCCATGTCTAGGCCCCCTGCCTGCCTAATTTCTCTGGGGACCTCCTGGCATGGCAGTCCCGGTCAAAGTGCCTGCTCCTTCAGGGGCAGAAGGGAAAGGGCGATGGCTTGGCTAGCGTGGGGCTCAGCCCAGGGGTCGAGAGTGGCTTGGTAGCTGCGTGCCTGTCATTTGCAGGCTCATCAGTGGAGTCTCTGCTTGGCCCCTCTGCCCTCATCCTGACACGAGGAGCTTTAGGAGAAGAAGAGCAGGAGGGGGACCAAGACAGTGACACCGATGACATCAACCACCAAGGTGAGGAGTGCAGACCCGGATGGAAAATGCGGGCAGAGGGAGGGGCAGCCGGATGGGGCAGCTGATCAGGTGGTGCCGTTTTACTGAGCGTCTCTCAGCTCTCCTCTCCACAACATACTGAAGCCCCCTCATTTTTATTTTTTGTGGCTGGTGTGGGGGGGGGAGGGGAGGGAGAGCTCCTCCTTTCTCTTCAGTGAGCACCGGATCGCTTTCTGAAGAGTGTTCTGGGTCCAAGGAGTGGATGGGAGACTCACATTGCTACGAGGGTTTTCTGCTCTCCTGTTGCAGTGACAGAGGAAAGCCATGAAGGGCCGGCCTTCCAGAACTTCCTCCAGGAGGCCAGGCGGCGCTATCCGGCTCGAAGCAGCCAGTAGTGGGGAAAGAAGATGGCAGCAGCAGCTGTGAGGTGCAGTCCGTGCATCCCGGGCTGCAGCTTTGGCCTTCTGAGCCTGTTGGACTGTTGCTTCGTGCTTCCCTTTGCAACAAGAGGGAGGCCAGTTTCAGGTCTCCAGAAGCTTTTCTGCCCAGCCAGGGCTGCAGCTGAGAAAAGTATTCAGGGCAGAGTGAACTGTGGTACACCTGGGAATCCCATCTATAATGTTATGCTTATCAAGAAACCTCTATTTTGCTATCAGTTGCTGTGGTCTGTCTCATCTTTTGGAGCTGCTCGCTATTCTTACCTTTCTAGGTAGCAGCAGAGGCACCTGCTGAGAAGAATCTGGAAAGGAAGATGAGGTCACAATTCCATCAAAGAGGATGCAGAGTGGAAAGCGCTCACTAAAGCACAATATGTTCCCTCTAGACAAAATTGTTTGCCAAAGTCTTCTGAGCAAATGTTTGTTTTTGTTAGTCTTACTCGACTTAATCTTAAAGAGAGAAAAAAAGAAAAATAAGTAAACAAAAATGTCCCACAGGTAGGAAGATGACAATTTTTTGGAAAAACCATTTCAGATTTTTTTTAAAAGTCTGAACATGGAATCCAGTAAAAGATCAGGAAATACCCAAATAGGTTTTGTCACACACAGTTATCTTAAAAACCTTGCAAGGTCTCATCTCACTCATGAATAGGAGGGCACTTATCTTCCAGTACCACAGGATCAGGCCTTTAGCTTGCAGTATGGCAGAATTCTGTTCTTTTGACCACTGGTTGAATTCCAAAAAACAAGCATGTGATTTTATGAAATGTTCACATCTACAAAGTTCAGGGATCAGTTCAGTGCAGAGTTAATACAGAGGACAACCATGGTCCAAGAAGGACCTGTAACTCCACGCTGCCAAATATGTTTAAAAGATGCACTAGATAGATACCTTTGTGTTACTGATAAATAGCAGCCTTATTCAAACTTTTACCAAATAGTCCTTATCGTGTTCAGTATATAAAAAATGTAATTTTCTGTTATGCAAGTCACAACTTTTGCATTCATAGAGAAAAACAATCCAGTGATTAGAACAAACTAGGATGATCCATTTTTTCATTACATTTTCCCCTCCCCTGTGTATTCATCATTCTTTGACCAGCATTGTTGTTTCCAGCCATGAATTGCTTCCATTTTTATTCTGAATCAATGACCTCTGAAAGGTCTTCTTGATCAGCACATGCACACAGCCACACACCCCACAGGAAATAGAAATGCATGGAAAGCCACGGTTTTTAATATTATAGATTTCTTGCAGGAGGGCATGGATAGTGGTCTGGCAGCCATCTTGAAAGAGACAATCAGCAGTTCTAGAGGCAGGTGCATCATCTTGGCCAAAGCACACACAGAAGTGTATCAATCATTCCCTGAGGGGTGTGTCTCTGATAGCTCTTCCTGTATGGAATGGACGCCCCTGGTGGAACCTCCCAGTTGCCCACCACATTCTCACCAGGTTCAAGTCAGTGTCTTCAAAGCACCCATTCTGGAGGGTGTTTTTCCTCACTGCCATTACCTCACCAGACAATCTCAGAACTGGTGACATCTCCCTTTTCATGGCTACAGTCCTTCTGGAGTGACTTATTGGAGAGGGCAGAACATGCCAGCAATCGGTAAGGCTGAGGGTGTGGGTGGGTGAGTCTAGGTCTAAGTGTAGGCAAACTCACTCTTCCCTCTTCTCTCCTGGCAGCTTGGCTGTTGGGGACAGAGAGTCTAGAATCGGCCCATGTAATCTGGGTCCACAAGTTTCCCCTCTCCCCTGCCGGCCCTGTGGTGTTTGCCTCCCCTCGCCAAGGATGTGCTTTCCTGGCAGCGTGGCTGCTCCAAACTGGCTGTCTGGATGGTGGCAGCAGTTCCCATGTGAGCGCAAGGGGGGGGGGGGGTGTCGCCGCGGATGCCTAGAGGGGCGGTGCTGTGAGGGGGTGGGGTATTGCTGTATATAAATTTTTTTGGAGGGGGGGTAAAAGGTAAAAAAGTTCCTTGACCCCTGATTTAGTACCACAAAGCCTCACAGCTTCCAAAATGCTTGCCTGAGAGAAGGCTGGCTGCTGGCATCCCTTGGCAGGGCTGTAGAGCTTGAGAAGGAGTTTGATGGGAGGAGTTTGCCCTACAGTGGAGGGAGGAGTAACCCTTGGAACTTAAAGAGTGACCAAAGTGCTCCTTCAGACATTCTGTGCTGCTTTAGAACCCAACTTTTGAAAACATTTCTGTCCTCCCTTGAAAGCAGCTAAAACTTACTTTAGAAGCAAAGAGGCCTCCACTTCAACTGACCAATGGGCACCACCGTCCTGGCTCAGCCAATAAAGCCGGAGCCTGTTCATGACCGTCATTTCTGCTACCTCCCCAATAATGCCAAGGGTCAGGATGGCTATCCTATGAAACAGACAGTGGGGGGAGGGGGCGGAGGCAGTCTCCTTTCATACCCATAGTATACACAGTGCCTTCTTCCTGCCAGAGACTGTGCTGGGAGTCACGAGCTAAGAGAACTTCAAAAGTCAAAAGGGATGTCAGTAGAGGAGATGGCATCTCAACAGAGAGGCAGTGCATGCTGAATACCAGTTAGGGTGAGAGGTCGTTCTTCTATTCACAGCCAGGAGAGGTCCCGAGTACGTCTGGCTGGTTACAGTGGGAAACAGCCCAGAAGGGATCAGAAAAGAGTAGGTGAAGGCTGCTGGGCTGGTGTGATGTCAGGCCCGGGGACAAGGGGCAGAGGTTCCTATCCTCTCTGCCACCAAAGGTGACTGGATGCCCAGGGCTGAGTATACCCATAGTCATCCTCCCCTGCTTTAGTTGGCTTTTCATTCCTCTCTGTCAAATTATTCTCCCACGTGGGATCTTTGTTCAGAAATTCTTGCCAGCAGGAGCTGTTGCTGCTGCTTCAAACAGGCCCCTCTGTCTGTGTGTTTGTGCGTGTGTGTGTGGTGTACGCGCACATGCACATGCGGCTGGGCACGCATGAGGCTTTGTCTTTTGTGCCTTCAGCCAGTACCTCTTGGTTGCGTGGCCCTTCTGGCTATCTTCGGGTCTCAGACAGTAATAATTATAGGAAAACAGAGCCCTCCTCTCCTCTCCTTTGGGTGCTGAAGAATTTCACAGTGCATGGTCGTCTCTTGCTCTATCCCGAACGGGGTCCTGCACCACCTCCCAGGCATTGGGTCCCAGCAGGCGATAGTTTCTGCCACGGTAAGTGGCCACATCGAGGGCACGGTTAGCACGTGCAGCATCATAGATCTCTTGGAGAGCAGGGGGGAGAGGGGGGAAGCCTGCAAGGTGGGCCAGCTCTTTCGCATAGCTCCACTGCTGCTCTTTCAGCCGGTGAAAGTACCGGCTCAGTCTACCGCTCCTCAGGTACTGGTCCAGCTGAGCCTGGACGTCAGCCTCCATCTCAGCTGCTGACGGAAGGGGGCAGCACCCAGTCAGCACTGCCAGTGCAAAGAGCACCTGGCAGTGAAAGTGAGGAAAGGGGCAGATCTGCTGGCATAGTCCAATGAAGAACAGTGAAGGGTGCTGAGGGGGCAACAAGTGCTGGAACAAAGGGCCTACTCCATAGTCGGTCTTCTGTAAGCCCAGCTGGGCTAAATCTAAAAAGGGAAAGTGGTACTGGTAGCCAGTACAAAGGATCAAGGCATCTGCCTGCACCTCTGAGCCATCCTTGAACACTACCGAGTCCTCTGCCACCCTCAAGGGCGGGGGCACCTGCATCACCGTCCCAGGCATCCCACACACAGGCGACCCTTGGTGGCTCAGCACCACTCGAGCAGCCACAGGAGATAGCAGCAGAGCCAGGTCAACACCGGATGGGCCAGCACCCACGAGCACCACAGACAAGCCAGCAAAAGGCTCTGGGTGGCGGAAGGAGTGGCTGTGCAGAAGGCAGCCTGGCAAGAGAAAAGGAGACGGTGCCGGTGAGAGGAAAGCAATGATTACTGCCGCATGCTTGACATTCTTTACCAAGACCCACAACTCCCACACACTCTGGGAGTTTAAGATTTCTTTCTTTGTGGCCTACTATTCCAGCAACCTCTGGCCTACGGATTACCCAGGGCCTCTGGCTAAACTTACAATTCAGGGACTTTGCGCAGGTATTTTGCTCAGGGGCCTTCAACAGGACCTGTAGCCCAGAAAAGAACCAGTTGCCAGAACTACCCTGTGACTCACACACTGCATGGGGACACCCAGAATAGCTCTCTTGCACCCTCCCCCTCACATCAAGTTCGGCACACACTGAGATGCTCTCAGGACTGAGGAAAGGCAGCTTGGAAACCAACAAGGTAGGCAAGTCCTCCCTCCACGAGGGCCACGACCAGCCCCCCGAGGGAAAGTCAGACAGCTATGCCTGCCACCTACCCAGAAGACCCTTCCTTTCTTCCTTCTTCCCTAGTGTTTTGATTTGCCCCTGCAGTCTCTCCTTTTGGATATGAGGATTGGTTAGGAAGACTTAAAACAGAGATTAGCAAAGCAGTGGGAAAAGGTCACAATTCCTTTAGGGAGAACTGAGACCAAGGGTGTGATAGTTGGAAACAGTTTGTGATGTTGCAGTGGGTTAGAGTAGCTGCTGTTCCTGCCACTGCCTGAACCGGGGGTTCTGATCCATGGATCCTGGGCATGAGTGCTATGGAATGACACATTATTAACACTTGTGAAAAACATAAAATAAAATAAAATTTAAAAACACAAAATGTGGTTTTTGTCTTAAAGACTGTTATATTTTAATGTGAACTTTCATGGTCAAGTCCACTTCCCTGGACATAACAAGAGACAGATATAACATGGCAAATATGTATACATGACATCAAAATAGAGATCAGGGTGGGTGTAATTCACAAGCAGCATGGCTTGTAGCTTCCTGAGAGAAAGAAGAGGGGACACGATTCTCTCTCTCTCTCTCTTTTCCCCCTGGCCTCTTAGATTCTGGCACAAACAAATGGATAGAAAAATAGTTATTGTGTTGACCAGCATTTGGCCAAGCTAGAAAGCAATGGACCAGAACAGAGCAACTTCCAAGTGGCTCCATGCCCAGATTGTATCCCGAAAAAACCCTACAATTATGCTTTTGTTCCATGACAGAACATGCAGCTTTGGGTTAGCAAAGAAAAGTGGCTTGTTACCAAGTGCTACAGAACTGAATTTTAGCTATAAGGGGAAGGAGGTATTACTGGATTAAAACAAACCATTGCACGTTTTGTCCCTTCTCAAACTTTCCCCCCCACTTTTACAGTATTTGTTTGTTTGAATCTTTCATTTTGCTAAGACAGTTTTGCTTGTTCAATGGTCTTGATGGTTGTATTGCCCCTTTGTCTCATTCTGAACACTGAACTTCATATTCGTGCTAGTGCACCCTTTTTCACATACAAGCAGGAGTGTGCCTATATATAAGTTTCAATTCTTGTGACCTGATGATGTGGACAGGATGCTTGAATCAGTACCTCCCACCATGTGTACATTTGACCCTTGCCCATTGTGGTTGATAAGATCTAGCAGAGGTGGATTGATTGGTGGGGGGTGTTTCCAGGAGGTGGTACATGTGTCGTTAAGGCACAGAATGCTGCCTTCTGGTGCACCTTTTTCTGAAGAGGACCCCTCTGGGCCCAGACCTTTGTAACAATTGCTGACTCATTGCAAATGTCTCCTGTTTGGGCAGCGTGACTGACCCATGTCAATCTGGGTTCAGGCCAGGATGCAGCAGCACTTGCCCCTGCCAAATTGGAACAAGTTCAGAAGGAGGCGACAAGGATGATCAGGGGCTGGAAACTAAGCCCTCTGAAGAAAGACAGAAAAAAACTGGGCATCTTAAGACTGGAGAAAAGAAGACTGAGGGGAGAGAATATGATAGCACTTTCCAAATACTTGAAAGGGTGTAATTCAGAGGAGGGGCAGGATCTGTTCTTGGTCATCCCAGAGTGCAGGACAGGCAACCATGGGCTCAAGCTACAGGAAGCCAGATTTAGGCTGAAGATCAGGACAATCTTCTTAATTAGTGCAGTATGGCAATAGAATCAATTGCCTCAAGAGGTGGTGAGTGCCCCAACATTGGAGGCATTCAAGAGATATCCTCTGATCTGTATTCCAGCATTGAGCTGGAGATTGGACTCAGTGGCCTTATAGGCCCCCTTCCAATTTCATTATTGTATGATTCTATGATTCCCTGTTTGATGATCTGCTCTGTGCTAAAGGCAGGGGGAGGATGAGGCCTCTTGATTCTCCTCTCTCTCCTTGGCGGCTCGACTGGCATTAACACTGGCATCATTTCGACACCAAGCCAGAGCGTGCTTATTTATTAGAACCTGAGAGGTTGTGGATGTTGGCCTACATAGATTTTAATGCAATGTTTTGAGCGTTTAAATTTTATGTTTCAACTATTTCATTTTTAATTTTTAGAAATACTTTTATTTTTTTAAATTGTTTTATATAGCTTTGCAACCTGCCCTGAGATCTTGAAATTTAAGGCAGGTTATAAATCTTTACATAAATAATAAACTTTTTTTTTTAATGGAAGAAAAGGCAGAGTAAGTTTATAATACGCTTCATAAGGCTAAACCTTCCATTCCAGTCTCGCACAGCCCTGATTACTCTTGATATGGGAGTGGCAGCAGGGGGAGATTCTCCTCCCTGCTCAGACCTGGTCCTAGACATTGTGCACAGTACCAGCATTCTCTCTGGCTTGTGAAATGACTGCTTTGCATAGATCTAGATGCCCAAGGTTTTGCTCCCTTTCAACTTCTTTTACTTAAATTTTACCTTAACCTTCCAGTGAACGTCAGAAGTCACTAATTTTTTAAAAAACATTTTTCTCCCTGAGCTGATTTTAACATCTGAGTGTTCCAAGATCAGTGTTTGCCTACCTTCCACTAGGTCTTCAGGAAGTTGTCCTTTGGAATATGTAGCCTTAAGACTTTTTTCTTTAGTCTACAGGCCAAAGTGCAGAATTGATAGGAAAACAGGAAGCTGTTGCGATTACTGAAAAACTAAATACTAAATCAGTAATCCATTAGCAATCCATAAATATTCATCCTGAAATAACCCTGTTTGTTTTAAAAGTGATGCAAAGCTTTTGTGGTTTTTGATTTTAGGACACATGCAGAGAGACTAATTTAGAGACAAATGTTGTGATTGATAAAGAATCCATTTTTCATATTATTTTCTTTGCATATGTGAGCCAACTTTACTATGCATTAATCCAGCAGTTCCAAATATCATGTTTTCAATTAATGGATTATATAACTGCCCATGGTGTACAGAAAAAAAGAGGAAAAAAGGGAAAGCGAATTGGGGTGGGAGGGAGCACAGGCCAGATTGACTGGCAGGAAATTCAGGAAAGATAAAAGGAATTCCAAATTTACCAAAGGCCTAAGTAACTTATGCCACTGGCTGCTACAGAGTACAAGAGTGTCTGGTCTTTAAAGAAGAACGTATCCATTCTTGGACAATCTGTCTACCACGAGCTGATGCTCATAAGATCATTCTAAACAGAATCTCCAAAATCGAGAGGTCATTGCCCTCTGCACACCAGTGGCTACAAAGTACAGGGGAGAAGGGCTAGCGTTCTCATTTCCCGCATTTGGACAGGATCCGTCTTTGCTGTGAGGCTCTTTATTTGTCTTGGGGTGGGCACAAAATAGGCCTTACCTTGGAAACTGTCCAGGCCAGGGATGGATGGTATAAAAGGACTGGAATAATGTCTGTAAAAAAAAAAAAAGACCATCAGGGCACACATTGTGAGTGGGGGAGAAAAGGCATGCCACCCATCAGGTCCAAACACCTCCACCTCCCTAGAGTGGTCCGGTGGGCCAGATAGGTGGGGTATAAATTAAATAAATAAATAAATAAATAAAATAAATAAATAAATGAATGAATGAATGAATGAATGAATGAATGAATAAATAAATAAATAAATAAATAAATAAATAAATAATTCATAAGGGACCTACCTGCCCTTTCTCCATCCTTATCAAATGCAGAGGACATCCTGAGCATGGACCTTGGATCCTGCTAAGCACCCCTTTGATTAGTGGCCTTGGGCCTGACATCTCCCTTTTTCCCAATGTTGATGAAAACAACAAACAAGGCCTCCTCCTCTGCCCTCCACTGAGCAGGTCTGCCTACACCCAGATTGCCAGGGACTCACCCAGTGCACACCATGATGGCATCAAAGTGCTCTGTCAGCTGCTGGCGCATTGGTGCTGGTGCCTGCCGTGTGGCTGTGACATCCCAGCCACTTGGGATACCCTCTTTCCTCTTTGGGGCAGGTCTGACATTGTCCACCTTCCATCGGAACTGGAGGAGCAAACAAAACAGGTGAATTTCTGCAGGCTGACGGGACAGCTGTAGTGAGGGTGTGGAGGCTTTCATGCTGGGAGCAGTCCTTCTATCCTGTGGCGGACAAAGAGCTTAAAGAGGACCTTGGAAAAGGCAGCCTATTGTGTCCATTGAGAAAAGCTCTTCGTGGGCTTTTAGGCCAGATGGGCGGGGTATAAATCAAATAAATAAATAAGGTTGACAGGGCTTAGCCTGCCTGGGTGTCTGCCCTCCTTTCAGCTCTGGATCACAGAGGACTCACTATGGCCATTCTTGGCAACATTAATGCATAACATATAGTCAGGGACACTTTTTATATTGCACTGGGGAAAGAGACCTTGTTCTCTTGCATTTGTGGTTTGTCACTCTAGCAGCTTCCTTCACCTGGCCAGGAGCCTGCTTCCAGATGCTACCACCACTTTGCCTCTCACCCGGATGTGATCTTGGATGCCAAAATGTTCTGTGTATCTCTCCAGGTAGGCCAGTACAGCCGAGTGGTGCAGAAAGGAAGGCAAAGAAGGATCAAAGGGGAAATCAGGAAATGCCATCACCTCCTTGGGCAAGTTGGTCCTGGGTGCAAGAACAGGAAGAAACAACTGGTTAATTACACTGCCTCCCTCCCCAGTGTGGACTAGCACTGTTTTTCTAGGCTGGCATGCACAAGTGCGCACGCGCGCGCACACACACACACACACACACACACACACAGAGAGTGGCCTACACAGAGGCTAGGGAAGGCCAGATACCTCAGGTCACGGTACATGCTGGAATGGATAGGCCATCCATTGGCATCCTCCCCAGTCTCCTCTGTGTAAACCCAGGTGCCTCCAACATGATCAGACGCCTCAAACACCACTGGAGGAGCAAATGTGTCTGGAGAGGCGAGTATGTGCCGGGCGGCGCAGAGGCCAGCCGCTCCTGCCCCAATCACTGCCACGCACAATTTAGGGGATGCCATCTAAGGAAGGAAGGAAAGAAGGAAGGAGAAATAAGGGGAGCGAAATGAAAATGCAATGATATCAAGCCAGTCTTCTCTCATCTCTCCTGCAAGAGTTGGGTAACTCTCTAGTCTCAGCACTCCCTACTGCGCTGCAGTGGCCAACTAATATGATTCTCCGCAGCACTATCTCCGGACCTGTCTTTCATTTCCTTACGTTGCCCAAGGAGCCGACGCTGATAGTACTCGTTCCTACGAGGTAAAACCCCGGCCTAGACTCAGGCGGGGCCGACACGGGGCAGGATTCTGTCGGCGAAGAGCAGACCCCGGGCAGAGGCGGTGCCCCGAGCCCCAGCCAGGGGGAGCAAGGCAGGACCGGGCAGCCTGACTTCTCCCTCCGGCTCAGCGAGCCAGGCGCCCTCGCCCTCGCCCTCGCCGCCCCCAAGAGCCGCTGGCCAGGGAAAGGCTCCGAGAAGCCACGAGGAGGACGCCTCGCCCGTCGGCCGAGGGCACCGGTTTCGCGGGCGCCTCCCCGGGAGAAGGCACCGCCCGCCGCTCTTGACCCAGTCGTGACTTCGGGACCGCCCGCCCGGCCGCGTCCCCGCCCTCCTCTCCGAGCTCAGGCAGTGCCGACCTCCGGTTTCTGACGGATCGGCCTTCCTCCTCCTCCTCCTGCTTGGACGGTTCCTTTGCTCCGCTCTACCTCGTCCGGCGGCGAGAAGGGCCCGGCGGGACGGTCGAGAC